TATTTCGGTGAACAAATAACAAGTATAGTTTAAGAGTTTTTTCTTGCTTTGTTTAGAGGATAGTTCTCAAAAATATAATATCTTATATTTTTGTTTTCCTATCAAAATCTTAAATTTCTAAATGGTCATTTGCAACAATACCAAAAAACTATAATTTATAAACTAACTAAAACATTAGAGAGAAAAAGAGTGAATGGAATGGATGATACAAATGTAAGGTTATATATGCTAATTTCCCATTTCTAAAATGTACCACAAATTATAAGTTCATAGAAAGGATTACCATATATATAGGAAAATGTATTACTAAACCTAAAAAGTTTGTGGTATTTTTTAATCTTTTAAAAAATAAGGGTACATTTGAAACTGAAATTTGCTTTTGTGATATTTCTTACACTAGATTTGGACCCACGCCAAGCGTGGAATTAAGTGTGAGATTAAATATATTTTCTAATCGATTTTAATATTTAAATGGGTATTTCATTATTTATAAACGTACAAAAATTATATGTATTATACATAAATGTTTAAAATTTGATTAAGCATACTTTATTGTTATATGCTTTAATCAATTTTGCATAAAGTATTAAAACTAATGCAAATATTATTTATTTCAATTTATTTAAAGTGTAAAATTATTTTTTATTATCTGTGTAAATTATAGCATACGATAAATCAAATAAATTTTAGATTTATATGAATTTGTCAGACATAACAAACGAAAAATATATATTTTTCAATAATGAAAAATAAAAATATTTGTAAATGTAGTTGTCGTTTACAAATAAATAATATTGTTATAATATAATAATAAAAGCTTCTTAATATATCAATTTAAAAAAAATCATATGGTAAGTCTAAATATTACATTTAGTAAAACTTAAATCTGCAAAATGTGTATTACTGGGTTTATATTATAAAATTAATAAAATGTAGAGATTTCACTATAGCATATGATTTGAATTAAAATGTTTTCATCGATTAATTTAAATGATACGTTTCTTTAAATCTCCATTAAATGACATATATGATTTTTTCACCAAATATCTACTCAATTAATATATAGAGGATTAGTGACATTTTTGAAAACGTTTCAAAATT